TGTAAACACGGTAAAGAGAGATGTAAACACGGTAAACAGAAATGTAAACACGGTAAAGAGAGATGTAAACACGGTAAAGAGAGATGTAAATATGGTAAAGAGAGATGTAAACACAGTAAAGAGAGATGTAAATATGGTAAAGAGAGATGTAAATATGGTAAACAGAAATGTAAACACGGTAAAGAGAGATGTAAACACGGTAAAGAGAGATGTAAATATGGTAAAGAGAGATGTAAACACGGTAAAGAGAGATGTAAATATGGTAAACAGAGATGTAAACACGGTAAAGAGAGATGTAAACACGGTAAACAGAGATGTAAACATGATAAAGAGAGATGTAAACACGGTAAACAGAGATGTAAACATGATAAAGAGAGATGTAAACACGGTAAACAGAGATGTAAACATGGTAAAGAGAGATGTAAACACGGTAAAGAGAGATGTAAATATGGTAAACAGAGATGTAAACAGAGATGTAAACACTGTAAACAGAGATGTAAACGTGGCAAACAGATGTAAACACGGTAAAGAGAGATGTAAACAGAGATGTAAACAATGTAAAGAGAGATGTAAACAGAAATGTAAACATGGTAAACAGGGATGTAAACATGGTAAACAGAGATGTAAACATGGTAAACAGAGATGTAAACAGAGATGTAAACATGGTAAACAGAGATGTAAACAGAGATGTAAACATGGTAAACAGATGTAAACAGAAATGTGAACATGGTAAACAGAGATGTAAACATGGTAAACAGATGTAAACAGAAATGTGAACATGGTAAACAGAGATGTAAATGTACACAATACATTTAGTTATTCTTGCTATACATTTTGTTTATAGTTCTGTTTTATTATTTGTAAAACTTGAGGTGAATTTTACCCTGGTCAGTATACAACTTCAAACTGTTACTTTTTGAAGACTTTTGAAGGTGAAACTGATTTAATTTTAGTTTTTATTTTATGAAATATAACTGAAAGATGTTGATGGTTTTCTGTCATCTGATCCACACTGGGTCAGCCAGTTTAAACCCAAGCAGGTCCATCACATGTTAGCCAGGATCAGTTGACCAGTGTCACATCCTGGAACGTACATATTAATCCTCATGGAGCTGCACAGAGCAGAGAAGTGTAATTATGAGAGTAAAGTCAGAGCTGATTAGACTACAAGAGGACTCACAGGACTACAAGTGGACAAAACTTCCAGAATACTAATGGAGGACCCTGGACTGCTTGGGGACAAGTGCTGCCGACTGATCAATTAGCATCTGATAGCTGCTGGTTTCCATAGCAGCCGACGTCCTGAGATGGTCTTCTCTGCAATAATAGAGCCAGCACACTGTCATTTGTTTTTTCTCTCTGTCAGGTTTCTATGAACCCAGTTTCTGTGGTTCTGTGGGTTCTGAGAGTTTCTAAGTCAGGTGTGTGAGCCTGTGTTTAAAGGAGTTGGTACAAGTCACCTCAGCCTCTTTGAACAATGTAGTCTCTATCTGTTTTTCATCAGAAGTGCACATAGACTGGACCAATCAGCTGTAATTTTTCACCATGAAAGGACAGATGTGTTCTGACCTTTAACTGGTTCTGTTGGACGTCCTCATGAAAAACCAGCATAGAACCATGAGGGAGTGAAGTGACATAGTGACATACTTCATAAACTGCAACACAGGAGGCTCTCCACAGCAGGTGTGAGGAAAAGGATGAGATTTCATGTAATATTATGACTTTATTTCTTGTAATATTACGACTTTGATCTTGTAATTAAAAAATATACCTTAGTGTGGCCCTAATACTCAGTTGTGCACTCCAGCAAATAAGGTAAAATAGAAATCTTCACAAATAATCCAAATATTTGACTTTAAAGTAAGAAGAGGCAGTAGAAGAAGTACTGTAGTGCCTTTGGGGCCGGATATGATGGCTGTGAGGGCCAGATTTGGACCCTGGGCCTTGAGTTTGACACATGCCCTAGGTCGTAGATAGATGATTGACTTTGTAGTCATATCAGCTGATCTGAAAATCTAACTGAAAAGATAATTCATCCCACACTTCACCTCTTTAATCCATTTCAAAACAGATCAAACAGATAAAGACATAAGGACAAAAACAGCAAAACAAAATATTATAACTGTAGAAGATCTGACCTAAACAGCGTGTGCATTGTAAATAAAATGGTTGTTTTGGTCCTTCCTCTTTTATAGGAGCGTCTTCTGCTCTCCATTCTTCCCAAACACATTGCAGATGAGATGCTGAAGGACATGAAGAAGGAGCCCAGTCAGAAGGAGATGCAGCAGTTCAACACTATGTACATGTACAGGCATGAAAATGTCAGGTAACGTGGATCTGATGGTCAACATGTCTGTTCAGAGTGTGAAAACTACGTGTTTTAAATATCTCTTAGTTTCAGAGCAGTGCAAAGTAACAGATACCATAAGTTGTTATATCTCAGGAATACATATCTAAAATGTATTTTATAGTATTTTCTAACTAATAATAAACATTTTCAAGCAGGATTGAACACATAGTCTCTGCCAATCACAATAACTATTTTCATTGTGTACAAAAATAATCACATTTATCCAAAGTCAAAATAGTGTTTGATAGTGACGGATCTGTTGTTTTATAAAAATTCAAATAAAGAAACACGAGGCAGTTTTGAAAGAAAGATGAAAAACTAAAACAAACCGGGATCACAAAACACATGAAACAAATGTTCTGAAGGATTAAAAGATGTTAGAATTTACAGAAGAAGTAGAAATGTTTGAATATTTCTGTTGATGTGACAGTAGCAGCTGTAGTAACGTTATCCTGTTTCTGTCTTTTCTTGTCTTGTAGTATTTTGTTTGCAGACATTGTGGGCTTCACCCAGCTGTCGTCGTCCTGCAGCGCTCAGGAACTGGTCAAACTGCTCAATGAGCTGTTCGCTCGCTTTGACAAGCTGGCTGCTGTGAGTTTTTCATTTTAGAACATCTGTCTTTTATTGAAGGACGAAACATCTGTTCAAAAGAATCTAAGCTGTCATTTTGAAACTCTACCAGAACTCACTTCATCCTCTAAAGCCCCATCTTTGTGGTCCAATTTCACTCTATTCAGTTCTGCTCAGGTGTGTGTCTCCATGTCAGTGTGTCCATCGCTTTGTGGGCGGATCGTACCATACCACTTCATGTTTTTTCAAATCATTAGTATTATGTTTCCAAGTATCAATAACCCCACCTCAGATAATTCGACCTCAGCATCAGGTTTACAAACATCACAACAATTAAGACCCATATCATACTCCGTATGTTCTCTTCTAAATATATATTATTAGTAACAGAAACATTTCAGTGTGTCCAGTTTCAATGTTTTGTAGTTTTGATTAAAATCTCTTCTAGTTTAGGGTCTAGTTTAAAAAATTTAAAAACCTAAAATAATTGCAGAATCGTTCATTTTATCTGTCAGATCAAAACATAAACAGATGGTGCAGAACTCCTCACTTCCTCTTTCTTTTAGCAGCTAAGTGTTTCAAAGACAAACTAGAAGCGCTCGGAGAGTGCAAACCTCCGCCAAGACCAGTTTCCCCCATCCTGTAATAAAGGGGCACACCAATACTACAGTGCCACCTGCTGGACACTTTGAAACCCACGCCTTGTGAAAGCATCACAGCTTTGCCGATGTCAGTGTTCAAAGAAAAAAATTTTCCTGTATCCGCATCGTGATCCAGAACATCACCAAAATTTAATTGTTTGTTCCTTGGCCCAGTACCCACATGTGGTAAAAATTTCATGACAATCCGTCCACAAGTTTTTGAATAATGTTGTCCACAGACAGAACGACGGACAGACAGACGGACAGACAAACATACATGACCGAAAACATTAGCTCGCCCTTGGCGGAGGTAACTAGACCTGGATGCAGTAATGATAGGGGTCCAAGTCCCCGCTCATTCATCCTTGATTTGTTAACTCCAGTTCGTCAGACTCACTGCAGCTATTCCTCTTAAGCAGCAGGTGTCACTGCAGGAATGACACCAAAAAAGAGTACTATAGAGAATAAAACACACTTTATAGATATATATAAAATAATTATTCATTTCTATGTAAGTTGTAAAGTTTCTGAATTATCTGCAGAGTTTAGACATTTTAAACTTTTGTTTTGTCCTTTGTATGTTTGTAGAAACATCCCTGCTTCCYGATATTTAAATTTATTTAAACAGAAAATCTATTTTGTTTATTACACATTGTTTGATTGTTTGATTGTGAGATAATTTGGTTAAAGTAAAATTAGACAAAACTAATCACTGTATTGTAGTACTATGTTAATATTTACTGTGAAGCACCAGGTTCAACTGCTGTTTACTCTGACAAACATTAATCATTTCTGTAAATATTTTATCATTACTGTGTAAATACATGAGATATTTGGTTAAATCATTTGCTATTATTCAAGTCGTAGGACTTGTCGGACAGGGAAGATAATAAAATCACATGTCTCAGAGCAGACACGGAGAAAATAAACTATTACGTTTCCATTTTACCAGACCAGTACAAAAACCAGGATTAGCATTTTTTAAAAATTCTGTCTCCGAAACCACTGAACAAACAGAAACAATGTGTTGTTTACTATTTGTATATTTTGGGTGTTTTTCTAACTGAACTTTTCTTAACCCTGTCAGAAATATCACCAGCTGAGGATCAAGATCTTGGGAGACTGCTACTATTGTATCTGTGGTCTTCCGATCTACAGAGAGGACCATGCTGCCTGCTCCATTATGATGGGCCTGGCCATGGTGGAAGCCATCTCGTGAGTTCACAGCTTTTACACAGCGTGCTTCTAATAAAGTTGACTGTTTTTTAAAAAAGAGTAAAAGTCTTGATTTATATTGATTTATGTGCATTTCACACATTATTATTATTATTATTATTATTATTATTATTATTATTATTATACTTTTTCCTCATCAGGTACGTTCGAGAGAAAACCCAGACTAATGTGGACATGAGAGTGGGCGTGCACAGTGGTACGGTCCTGGGTGGAGTTCTGGGCCAGAAAAGATGGCAGTATGATGTCTGGTCCACAGACGTCACTGTGGCCAACAAAATGGAAGCTGGAGGTATTCCTGGGTAAGAACAAATGCTAAAAATACCTCTTCAGTAATGCAAATATAGAAGACTTCCTAAGTACAACACATGAAGTAAGATATATCACAACCCTGTGTGTCCTGGCTGAAGACACCTCTGACCTCACCTTCAGGCAAATGATGTGATGATGAAGTGACAGGTTCCGCCCCAGTGTATAATGCATCCATCATCACTGTCACTCCTCAGTTCTTACCTCATTCACCTGTAGAAAAATATTTTTGAGTCAGAATAATCAGGTGCTGGTAATGAACTCTTGTTAATCATCACTGGTTAGGYTTCTTATTTGTAAAGTTCTYGTTCTGAGTTTGCTGCTCTGCTTCAAATCAACAGAAGTTCAGTTGTCTTCCTGTTGGGAACATTTACTAATGTTTATTTGACGTTGTTGTTCTWATAAAACCTTATTTTGCGTGTTATTTTGATATTTTCTACACTTTTTTTGCGTTCAAGTGATCTTAAAGGTAGAAAATGTGTATAAATTCTTCAGATTTTATTTCTACAGTTCATTTCTGATTCTGAGAAGCATTAMTTTTAGTTATTAAAAGCTTTTTTTTGTGAGAGATTCTAAAGTTTCGCTTGTTGGTATTTGTGATCCAGTCGGGTCCACATCTCGCAGAGTACCATGGAGTGTCTTCACGGAGAGTTCGACATGGAACCAGGGAACGGCGGAGACCGCTGTGACTACCTGAGAGAGAGGGGCATCGAGACCTACCTGGTGATTGTTCCTAAAGGAGCTGTGGGAAAGAATGGCATCAGTGGTGTGGTCAGTTAACGTTTCTAACACCTTCATTTCAAAGAATTTTATTTTATACAGCTTGGTAGGCCACATCGTTAGAGGTCCAAAATTCAACTTCCCCTGTCTAAATGTTGATGGTGGTTTGYATGGTCCTGTTAGCCTCTAGAGTAAGGATGTTAAACTTATTTTCTAAAGACCAGTTGTAATTAACTTTGATGTTTCAGGTTTAACTTTGACTAAACATGTAACATCTCATTCCTCGTCTCATTGCTATGGCTGAGCATTGCTAACAAAAAAATAACTGAGCTCTATGTGGTATTTCCTGCATAGAAACAGTGTTTTAACATGTCCTCTTATAAACACCGAAAAGTACTAAGTGTATGACTGACTTTAATACAGAAATATTCTTAAAAGRACAAGTAAGAGAGTAATACACACTGTTGAGTTGTGGTAAGTAGCTGCAGTCTTGAATTATTAACTCTCCCACTTTCTGACAGAATGAATAATCAACATGCATTATGGGAGATGTAGTTTATGGTCAATGCTGGCTTTAAAGCTGCTTATTTTGAAACATTAATACAGAGCTGTTCAACTAAATTGCTCATGGACCCACAGTTACTGAAAGCCAACAGCTCAGGGTCCAGACAAGTATTATTATCCTTCACTTTTTAAATCTGTTTCATTAAATCATAAATTTAAAGTTTACCATTGATATTAAAGCTGTTTTCATATTAAATTAGGTAAAAATATATGTTTTGTGTGTACTATATATATGTACATATAGTGCAGGGAAACTTTGGCAGCACCTGTACAAACGGAAACAAACATTTTAAAGTGTGCTTCAGTCTGATCATGTGGAATAGCCAATATTCTAGGGCTGTGCGGTATATGAAGTAGATGGTAGAAACAGTATGAAGTTGGCCTACGGTAGAAATGTACCCTCTACCGTCCTATCGTCATTAGGGTTGGGCATAATCGTATCATCTGCAATTATCGTCAAAAAAACATTAAACGATTATTTTTTGGCACTTGACGATTAATACGATTAACGCCACCAGGCAGACAGACTGACTGGAGATTTCCCCGGTCAGTCCGCTCGGTGCTCCTCTCCTCTTCAAATA